CATCTCTTTAGACAATTTCACCACGAATGGATGGAAAAGCAATAATAGAGTTTGCTTTTGCTTTTTCCCTCTTATTTATATTCTCTTTTTCCTTATTTTGTGATTAGCTGATGAGCTAAAGAAATTATGTAAGAGCTTGGTTGTATGCAGTCATTGAGGTCCAAAGTATTTCTTTTGTTAAAAAAGGTTTGATTTCAGGGAAAGCTAGCTAGTATCTATAGTTCTATGCAACTTCTGAGATAGTAGAAAGTAAAGTGGTATTCAATTTTCTGCTGCTGAATAAGGCAGATCCATGATCATGCAACTTCCTCCGGAACGTGTAGACAGTCTCATCGATGCTAGCTACAAAGGCATGGAATCACTGTCAGAATTAAGCCTCACCATCGTGGCTATATTATCCACACGGAATCTTTGTTGTGGAGGGCGTGAAAGCAACCAGTACTCAATTACAAAGAAGAGACATTGAGTGAATGCCAGATGCCACCTAAAAACGTCAATTACACTAAGGAATGTGAGTGATTGATGCTTGTTGTCACTTGTGAATTTGTGATCCACTTGTTACCGAGGACATGACTCTGTTTACGCATCCTGGCATCGCATAATTGTCCCCTAGCGACTCTTGTTGTAATCAATTTTTATCAGTTACGATTTTGCTGTGGACGTTGGAATTTTTGCATCTTTCAAAGAAGAAGCAACGATAGCATCTCACCTCTCCAGGTCTAATCTAGAGTACTCCTTCCATTTTAAATTATAGGTCGGTTTGACTTTTCTAAATATATAACTTTTATTATGTTGAACATATAGTATAAAGGTGCATAGCAAAAGTTATTGTATATGTATAAAAGACAAAACGACCTGGACGAGGGTGGTATTATTTTACGGCTAGGGTCCCATAACTGTCACTACATGAATAAAGCAATTTCTAATTATGGCAACATCCAACAGATCCAACGATTACCTGCTAATGCCTTTTGGAAACTAAACCCGAAACGCATCAGAACAGGGAGAAAGATACGGGGGGACCTGTCGATCAGCTTGCAGGCTGATCGGCGAAGGCACACCATGCCACTGCGCCGGGAGCAGAGCAGGGTTGTAATTTGTCAGGGGTTTAGAATGATCGACCACATGAGCCCCACGTACGAAGATAGAGTAACCAGCAGCCAAATCCTCTGGGGAATTGCAGAGCCATCGATGATGACAATTGACAAGGCTAAAAAACAAAAAGATAAAGCGGGGTCATGAGTTGTCTTGTCTCTCAGCATTCACTCTGGCTATATGCTGTGTTGAGTGTTACTCCCTCCGTCCCGTTAAGATTGTCGCTCGGGAAGCGGGATTGTGAGGGGGGCACGGTTTTCCAACGACAAACTCAATGGGACGGAGGGAGTAAGTGATAGTGTAGCCTGTACAGAATGGATGAGTTACTCATGCATGCATGATTGGTCAGGTAATCACTATTCATCCACAATCCTAGGCCCTGTTTAGTTCATCCAAAATACCAACTTTGACACTATGCAAAAAGAAGATTCTCCGTCACATCAAACTTGTGGTACATGCATGGAGTACTAAATGTTGACGAAATAAAAAACTAATTGCACAGTTTGGTTGTACTTTACGAGACGAACGTTTTGAGCCTAATTAGTCAATGTTTGGACAATTAGTACCAAATAAAAACGAACAAGTTACTGTATCTACAGTGCTTCGCGAAATCAGTCGGCGCCAACTTGGTGACCAACTAAACGTGGCCCTACCTCTTTTTTTACATGATCGTATCATATCTTTTGTATGAAAATCATCAAAATACAAAGGTAATCGTTGTGCTGCTATTTTACTGCACGAAAGAAACAAACTGCACCTTTGATAGCCGCTCGGTTCACTCCGCTACAATCAAAGAGAAACGACCAGAATACGCTGAACTTTCTGCCCAGCAGCCGAAGCGATTGCCAGCGACGGGACTCCTCTTTTCGGCCGGCGCCGCTGCGGCAGGATCGGGGCCAGGTTCATCAAAATCCAAACTTTGATATGCAAAAAAAAAAATCTCCATCATATTAAACTTATGATACGAGTATTAAATGTTAATAAAATTAAAAATTAATTGCATAGTTTTATTGTACTTTATAAGATGAACGTTTTGAGCTTCCGCCGAACTAAACATGGCCCGGCTCGGCCAGCGCTTTCAATTCAAGGACCGAGCGCGACAAGACCCGGCGTCGTCCACCTGTACCGTTCCCCCCAGACCGGACCCCCACGGCGCTGTAGCCGACTGCCCAGCAAAAAGCGCAGGCAACTTCACAATCACAGGCGCAGGCCACTGCACATGAGGTAATTGTTGCTAATGCCAAATTCAGCAGAGTTCTTAGCAGAAGCCAGGTTACCGTCGCATTTTTGTTGCTAATGCCTCATCAATTCTCGTCAGGAGGAGGTTTTTACAACATTGCCAACTGCCAACTGTCATGCACTGTGCTATAGATAGTTTACTTGTGCACAGTAAAAAAAACTTGGCACGCTGCACTGTGGCCCCACCGCATGTGCCAGTTGCAAAGGGTTCCCGATGTACGTACGTATATGATCAATTTTTTTTTGACAACAAATAGATTTATCTCAGCAGCACCTAGCTGCAATGATGCGTACAGAGTTTATGCTTACAGATGACAGTGCATCCAACAATGGGCACTGCTGAACATGAGTAGAATTGGAACATACAGGCTCACAAGGTGTAGAATTAGACCGAGAAAAAGTGTAAGCTTGTCTTGCTAGAGTATCAGCCGTTCTATTAAGGGTTCTGCTAATCTTGTAGATATTTGATCCCTGGGGTTGTGAGTGGTTGACAAACAGCTGGGTGAAGAATTTAATCTTCCAGTCTGGAGGATTGGCCATATGGTCTGCAGCGTTCAGGAATTGGACCAGCTGTTGGCAACCCGATAAGAAGCTTGTGTTGTTGAAATTGAGGCGGCCGTTGACAGTAGCAGCAAGGGCTAAAGCCGCCGTCTCCGCCATAAGCACAGAATCCACACTTGTCATGACAGCCTTGATGTAGATCGTCTGAGCCGGCTGTACCTGTGTGTTGACAAAAAATATACCAAGACCAGCCATTTTTGGAGTCAATAACGATAGATGGTCTGGTGGAGTGGAGGCATCAGCATAACACCTAACTCCAGGCAGGATGGCCGGCTCGTGGATGATGTACCTGTTCATCAGTGGGTTGGGATGGACGAGCATCTGGGGTTCAGACCTCCCCAGGGCTGCAACAGAATAGTTCATACCTGATGCAGTGTCGCCCAAGTCCTGCTGTTCACGAGCAGCGGTGCCTGAGAGGGGGCCTGCAGAAACAATGTTCGTACCTGTATTGATACTCCGATTGTGCTGGCTGACAGTGGTGAGGCCGGCTGCATCTTGGCATGCCCAGCTGTGTCGCTGCAGAGACTGGTGTGTCGTCATTGGTGACCTGTACTCCAGATTGGGTAGCTATGTGCGCCGACACCGCGTGGTGTAAATGCCAGGGGGTCCATGTTTTCCTTTGGAAACGAGGCCTCGTTTAGTTCGCGGTTAGGAATCAGTACGCGGTGTAAATGCTAGGGGGTCCATGTTTTCCTTTGAAAACGAGGCCTCGTTTAGTTCGCGGTTAGGAATCAGTATTTGATACTGTAGCACTTTCGTTTGTATTTGACAATTATTGTTCAATTATAATCTAACTAGGCTCAAAAGATTCGTCTCGTAATTTACAATCAAACTGTGTAATTAGTTATTTTTTTTATCTACATTTAATACTCCATACATGTGTCCAAAGATTTAATGTGATGAAGAGAGAGTGAAAAAACTTGGAATCTAAACAAGGCCCGAGTATCATTTCTCGCCTTCCGTACATACCACAAAGTTACGAGGATCTTTTGAAGTAAGGAGCCAGAGGTAGAGTTGGAGATGAGAGCAGATAGAGTTAATTGCGCCCCATCATTTTCCTGCGGAAGGTTATCAGTTCTAATGGCAGGGTTAGAAGAAAACCAAACTGCCCTGGGAAGGTGGCAGTGGAAGAAGAGGTGAGCATCATTTTCAAGTGCGTCACAAGAGGCACAACGGTTGTCAATGTGAGTAGAATACCTTGCTGCCTCTTTCTGCAGTGGCAAGGGCTCTTCTGATGAGTCTCCAAGTAAAGGCCTTGATGAGAGGAGACAGGTCCTTTATTTTCCATGCCCTCTGTAAAATCTGGTATGCTTGAGGCTGAATACTTCTATATCCCTGTGTATATGATCATTGAAGTTGCCAAGCAAACTCACGAGCCATCGTCCTGTTCGCTCGGCTGATAAGCCATGGCTGAAAAGCACGGTTGACTGATTTATTGCGAAAGGAAAATACCGTTGGTTGGATAAAAAAAAGTAAGCAAACAGGGCGCATATCACGGTTCGGGCTAGCATTGGTACTGTAGCAACTACTGGTGAGACTAGTGGACCAACCGGTCTTTATTACTGTTTGCGTACTTCCCTGTATCGTTGTTGCTGTACTGTAAAATTCAAACGGATGGGAGGGGAAGGGGACACGGAGGGAATGTGCAAGTGCAATTCCCGTTCCAGCTTGCCATTTGCCGATCAAATACAGTAACATAGACAGTTTCGACAAAAGAATTACGAGTACTAGAAAGGATACCACCAAAACAATCCAGAGCATCCACAATTCACATCCCTGGTAAGGCAGAGAGAGCTCGACGAGAGCTTGCATTTTTATATCGAAACAGCATGATGATATCCTAGACGACGACAATTATTAGACAAAGCACGTCGGATCCACCCGACCATCACCCAAATTCCAAGCACAGCTCAGGAACAATTTGCTACCCTAACAGTCTACTAGTACCACTCGCTACTGTACTCATAAGCACTAATCCTGAATCATTATATCATCAGATCCCAAAAGCCCACATTTTTTTTAAAGATCTTTCTCCGGGCTCCACCATTAACAAAGACCAGCAACCTTCACCAGTCCCATGCACCCACCATTGCTCGCTCCATTAGCTAGGGTTGGTTAATTAGACACGAGGCTACAAGTAACCATGACTGATTAGCACTAACTTGACTAGGACGACTGCGGAGAGCCGCCACTCGCCGTCGACGGCTGGACGTGGAAGTAGTCGGCGGCGTCGGTGGCCGCGGTGCCGTTGATGTTGAAGTCAGCGTGGACAGGCGCGGGCGGTGGGGCGGTGGGGCGGCGTGCGCGGAAGGGTGGTGGACAGCGGCGGCTGGTGGTGCTGGGGCGGCGGCGTGGGAGGAGGAAGGGTAGACAGCACCGGCGGTGGCGTCGGACGGATGGTGGTGGATGGCCGCGTTGGCGGCCGTGGCTGCTGCAGCAGACGCTGAGGCTGAGGCGCTGCGGCGCGCGCTGTGGCCGCCGACGAAGTTGTGCTTGTTGTTGTGCATCCAGACCTTGAAGACGCCCTTGGTGACGCCCATCTCCTGGCAGCACTCGTCCACCACGGCCTCGTCGCGCTTCTGCAGCCGCCAGCCCAGCCGCTCCGACAGGGCCTGCATCCGCTGCTTCTGCTCCGGGCTGAACTTGGTGCGGAACCGCTTCCTCGCCGCCGCCGCACCGGGAACGGTCCCGGGCGCCGCTGGCATCGGGCCCAGGGAGGCGGGAGGCGGCGGTGGAGACAGCGGGCGGTCCTCGTCGAAATCCGAGCCCTCGTCCGACTCCTCCTCGGTCTCCTCGTCGAAGGAGGCCGGCAGGCGGTCGTCCAGCGCCAGTGGTGGCGGTGGCGGTGGCGGCGGCGGCGGCAAGGCGAGGAGAGGCGGCGGCGGCGGCAGCTCGGCGAGCTGGCGGTGGAAGTTGCGGTGGCATCCGCACGCGGCGCACCTGAGCGAGCTCGGGTCTGCCGGGTCGGCCTCCGGCGACGGCATGAACTCGCCGCACCCGTCCAGCGCGTGGCCGCCCAGGCTCGCCGCGTGGTTCTTGAGGCACTCCCGGTACACCCCCGCCGTCTCGCCGTCGGCCGCCATCGCCGCTGCCGCCCCGAGCCTCGCCGTCTTCTTGGCCGCCGCGGCCACGCCGCCGTTCGGGAACAGCGGCTGGTACTTGTCTGCCACCGCCTCCATCCTTTCGCTCCCGCCCACCCGTCCCCTCTCTCTCCAAGGCGGCGTCACCACTGCTTGCAGCGGAGCACGCCCCCACCACGGAAGATTACCGCTGGCGCCTGACAGGGACAAAGGACGAGGACGAGGGTAGAAAACTACAGGTAGGGAGGTGAAGAGAAGCAAGGAGATAAGAATGAAGCGAGCCAAGGAGAGTGACGAGAGTGAAAAAGAAATGAGTGAAATAAATACACGAATAATTAGTGCGGATGACTAAGAAAAAATTATATATTTTTTACTTTACTAAATGAGTGCCCGTGAGTTGTAACGGTGCAACATAAATTAAATAAAATATTTGTTAGCCAAGTCAATATCAAAAATATATCAATTCAATTTTTCACGTGTATTATACCATGATAATGTGTAGAAACATATTCATTATCGTAATGAATTGGAAATAAAAGCCAGGCTTGGAGCTTGTTGTATGAAAGTTATGACAAACATCAGCTGTCTTAAAGGCTGAAAATTTATTGCTAGGCATCGAATTGAATTTATACATGTTCTGTCTTGTCCAAAATATGTATACTTGGACTTTTAATATCGTAGCCCGTATGAGGCATGACAACAATTCATTTTTTGAAAAAAAAAGTATTTGTTGTCAACACGCAACGCACTAGACCATCATGCCACAACTGTCTACATGTCAAATATGTTTATGTTATTTATAGCAGCTTGATCTATAAGTAGGAAGAGATTAATTCATTTGATACTAGAAGCCAAACTTGCATATAGAAATTTTATTTGTTGGAGTCATATTTGTCTATGAACATCATAGTGCATTGTTTTCTAATTTAATTTGTGGTTACTGAGTAAAGCTATCAGCACCCGACAATTTGAGAGATAAACGAACGATATTTGGATCACGATCACGATCATTGCGTGGTGATATTCCAATAAATTTCTTTCTCTTCCCATAATTCTCTTTCCATTTTATTCTATTTTTTACTCGCTTTTTAGTGTCTCTATGCGGTGATTATTTGCCTGCTGGTGATTCCATGAGTTTTATTCCATTTTTATTTACTTGTCTTCCAGTGTCTCCATACGATGATTATTTATCTACAGGATATAGATCGTATAAGTGTTTTGGTCCTATCAAATAAATGTTGACAATTCGTATGTTTTAGCCATATAGATAGAGAAAAGAAAAGAAACAGCGACGACAGACGAGATGAGAGAAGGCTACTACTATATCATTACTGTATCAACATTTGTGGCAGTGACTACACTCTCACATAATAAGTACATTTCTAGAGTTTAAAAATTTTCCTAAAATAAATGTACTTATAGATATAAGATAAACTAATTTATTTATCTTTTTCTACTTTCTCTCTCTGAGACGGTCTTCAACAAGGAACTTATATAGACATCTAAATCCAAAATGGGTAGCAAGAGACCTAAAATCAGCCTCCAACAGAATACATATACGTGAGACCTATTTTGGATTGCCTGAGAGGCACAATCCAAATATGGACAACCCCTCTCCTGAAACCCATTTGCAGAAACGATTCTTTTTGGGTCTGGTTGTTGGAGAAGATGCCGAATAGATATTAAACCTTTGCTTGTGTAGCGCTACCAAAGAATAAATGAGTCTTGTATTTTGGATGTTATTGTTGAAGATAGCCTAAGATAGCATAGTAGGTTTTGATTTATTTTGGATGATTCAACAATATTCTGTGAGAAAAAAATAAGATAGAAATAAACTGGAAACAAGCTGCAAGTACAGCCGAACGCGGTGTACACCTTTACATGAGCCTATACGTAATTTCACACGAACCTTAATTTCTTCGCCTACCCTTGAAGTGTAGCACAGTAGGTTTTGGGACGAAGTGAGCAGTGACGTGCGAGGGGAGGGTACAAGTGTACAGTGGCAGGCCACGTTTTGAGCTGCGAGGCATCGACCAATAGTGGCAGGGCTAGCCATGCTTTGCCTGACGGAATAGAGATCAGACTACCAGTACCAAGCGCGTAGGCGTAGGCCTGGGAATCACAGCATCACATGAGACGAGTCAGGCCCCAGGACAGCACGCGTGACGTGGGGCTGGGAATGGAGCGGATTAATGGTGGCCGCAGGATGCTCATCGCACACTGATGATGCGCCGTGTAGTAGTTGGACTTTGGACGATGACCTATGATCGTTGATCAGGTACCGTTGAATCATACGACGTACTCCTCCGTCTGGTAATAACTGCTCACTCCGTTCACAAAATTCACAAAAGAACGTAATTCTTGTTTTTCGAGAAATCAATCAGTTTTAATTTTGATTAAAATTATATAAAAATACTAACATTCTTGATGCAAAATTTATATTATTAGATTAATCATAGAATATATTTTCTTAATAAATTTATTTAAAGACATAAATATTAATACTATTTGCTATAAACTTAGTTAAACTTGAGCTACTTTGATCGGCACGGATCCTATAATTACATTTTTTTTCTGACCGGAGGGAATATACTTCTATAAAATTCAAAATTTGACTAAAAATAAATGCATCCCAACTCCTAGCCGAGCCGACACTTGGGTAGTTGTGCCGTGCCCACGCTGGAGAAGCTCACTATGCTGCCTCCTCAACGGCCGCTATGGCGGGGATCTTGTCCTCAACGACCGCGGCACACTAGGTGCCACAGGTACTGCTACATCATCTCTTGCGATGACGAGGTGCTGGCTAGTGGCAGGTCAGGAAGGCAGCGCGCAGATGAGCTGCAGTAAAGTCAATTACTATCTCTAAACTAACCTCTAATAGAACAATGGCTCGTAGCATGTACATGACACTCTCACGTGATTTTAGAATATATGTATGAGTCTAGCTCTTTATTAAAAGTTAGCTTTTCTCTCTCTTCCATTAAAACATGAAAAAATGTTAAGAGTTGCTTATGAGTCGGCCATTGCGGGTGCCCTAAGGGGAGGGAAGCCAGTCGCGGCCGCTGAGCTGGGGTTGGCGTGAGAAGAAGAGGAAATTGTAGGGGTTAAACATAAAAAAAATCATGCCCCACTTATGTAAGCAATAAATACCTACATGTGTGGCATGGAACATTGGAACAACGATGCACCATTTAATAAATTTATGGATCTAAAAATATATTTTCAAGTGCACGGATCTAAGTGACACCCCTTGCAAGTTCAAGGTATATGTGCTTAATTGTGTATCAACAATATTTTATATATATGTGGTACATGCCACATCAAGCGGTTGTCAATGATCACCGAAATGATGTGAGACCATGTCTATACTGATTCGGTGGCTTCATATTTTCACTTCCTAGGTTCATGGGCACTAGATGTGGTAGTGGATTTGGATAATCCCAAATTTAATTGGACTCTAGTTGCTTTTAATACACTTGATAATCTATTTTGATTTAGATGCCCATAATCATTTGATCCAACAAATACATAATCAATTGGACACAACTCAAAAAGTCCAGTGTCCTAGATTCATATGGACTTGACTACTTAAGAGGTGAAACAACCTATACTATCTAGTTTTAAGCTTATGATGTTAGACCCATGTATATATCTAGCCACATCAAGCTGTATGAAGTAGCGACCAATAATCGTACTGAGTAATCTCCAAGACACTAGACCATCATGCCACAACTGTCTACATGTCAAATATGTTTATGTTATTTATAGCAGCTTGATCTATAAGTAGGAAGAGATTAATTCATTTGATACTAGAAGCCAAACTTGCATATAGAAATTTTATTTGTTGGAGTCATATTTGTCTATGAACATCATAGTGCATTGTTTTCTAATTTAATTTGTGGTTACTGAGTAAAGCTATCAGCACCCGACAATTTGAGAGATAACCATCAAATCTGCAGTTTTAGTTGGCACCTGGTCTTATGACTTGTTTTACCATTTTTAGTCATGCTTACTGGTTTACATAGTATCTAGTTTATTCAACAATTTGTATCAGAATGCTAGAGTAATTTATTCTGGTATAACAACAATTTACAAGAATGTAGACTCTGGAAACTACTTATGTTAAGTATTAGGTATTAAAAAGGGCATGTCTATACATGATTTAAGTAAACAAGTACGAGATACAGTAAATTGAACTAGACATTTTCATTGTCTGAATAGAAATGTGTGTGTAGTGTGGAAAGCACGGAGGGCTTTTTGACTCAAATCCAGTAGATCTGATTTGCAACAATAGAAATTTGTGTGGAGTTTGCAGCATTGAACTGAACTATGAAGTCTCAAGAAGTCCATGCGAATAACCTAAAGGAACTGACATGATGAATCATTGTTGAGTTCTGTCTTTTTTGCTTGGATTTCAGGGTGCAAAGTTTACAAGTGCCAACTTCTCGGACACAAATTTTGAAGGAGCCAATCGACCTCAATGCAAATTGCAATTTTGAAGGAGCCAATTGATCATTGTTATCACCCTTTCAAAAAAATTGATCATTGTTATCAACCCGCTTCATCTTCTGTAGCTGTCAAACGTCATCATATTTCATTTATCGTGCTTATACTTTCTGATGTTGCATGCAGCCTAATATATTTTCTCCCCTTTTTTACAAATTATAATGTGGTTTGATCTTACATTTATAATACTATTTGAATATATATAAGATTTTTGGTGTACTTTTTTCCATGGTGCAATCCTGTTTAGATTCATTATTCCGTGTGATTTGTTTTGTGTGATTTGTTTTTAACAGAACTGACAGGTGCGCTACCTTTTCATTCAGTAGGAAGCAAAGTCTGAATATTTACAGGAAAAAGAAAAGAGCAAAGAGAGAGAAAAATTTGGCCCTGTTCGCTGGGAGGAATCTGAAGGAATCTGTGAGAGCGTGAACAGTAATTTTTCATCCGTGAACCGTAAATTTCGGCTGGTTTTCACCCAGCCGAACGGCGCCTTTATAAGATCAAGCGAAGAGCTACTGATTCTCCTCGTGCGCTACACGTTGCATCTGTACATCGTTGATGATGTCTTGCAGGAGTACAGGAGTTCCTGTTTAGTGCGCACGCGCCTTGTTGTCAAAGACTCGCCAGCATTTTTCATTCCACAAAAAATCCTAGTGTAGGTTATTAGGCTTGCTTGATGCACCTCATTCCCTTGCACTTGTGTTTTGGTAATATGCATCGACCGTTCAATTGAGAGACCTTGCTCATTGTGTGAGAGTCCCATCTGCTACCATAGCCTTTTGGCATAACTTCATTTGGTCATCACTGCAAATGAGTTTGTTGTCTGCAGTGACACAATTTACAAATTGGGTTTGTCTGTCTTCCCCTTTTGATGATTTGATCCGTCGTTGACAATTTTGATAGGAGCAACAACCATATTAAGAAACCACACTTTGGCTCCACTTTTAGTTTACATACATTGCACCAATTCTGGTCTAGAAAAGTCCTAACAACGCGTTGTATGTTGATCTTGCTGAATATCTCCCTTAGGATCCAATCTCGAGGAGATAATGCCCTCATTGTCCTATAATTGAGTTCCTTACAGCTGACTCCAAAGATCAACAAACTAGTGGAGCTGTTCCTCCGTATTCATTCGGCAAAGTCCATGCATCCACCATCGTCCCTGCAATGCAAAGGCAACAATGCAAAGGTGACGATGCATCCTGGAAAAGATGTCAAAGTGCTTTTGATTTACCCACTTCCTTATCTATATTCTGCCCGGTTTGGACAAATAGGGTTGGGTTAGAGCAGGGACGATGAGCATGGGTAATTAAGGAAGCGGGTAAATTACGACCGGCCGTAGTTTGGCTTATTGCACGGTCTTTCCTTTTTTGGTAAAAGTACAATTATTCTATTCCTTTTTCGGCAAGGATACTAATTAGCGTTTGTTTTTTGGTGGGATGCAGCCAGGACCAGAAACCAACCACACATTTGCACATATATACGTTCACAAAAAAGGCAATTAAGGCCGAGACAGATGCTTTTAGGTACTACATATATACGTTCACAAAAAGGCAATGTTTTCAGAAAAAAAAGAACACATCTCAGAAAAGAATACATTTGCATCTGTAGTTTTTCAAAAAGCAGAACACTATACATCTAGTCCCACACATTTGCACATCTTCTCTATACTGCCCGCATCTTGCTTCTCTGTGCATGGCCTGTATTCCTACATGTTAAAAAAAAGATAACATGTGTCAAATTTCTTGCTGGTAGGAGATAAAAAAAAGGATGCTTATGTTCCTGGAGCTTCTATTGGTGATGAGCAGGTTGCTGCTAGTAATGCTGTAGTGGATTCAATTTTCCTAGACAATTTAAGTGTCATTCATTAGGCAATAATGTCCTAATTAGGTAATTTTTCTATTCTGAAAAAGCAAGTATAGTGTATGTGTTCATTTGCAACGCACAGCCCCAGCCCCAACCCCAACACCCAACCCTCGGTTTATTTGCAAAAATACATATCAAATAGAGGCAGGGTGATGATGTCAATAACTAGTTTTTGTATAAAAGGCAGACTAGTGCAATGGTTGAACAGAAAGGATCATCATAATAGTAGGAAAAAGAAGGACCATCAGTAACGTGATCATGGCAAATAACAAAAATGCCGTTAAATAAATACTAGAGTCAAGTTTGTAGGTACTGATTAAACAATATTAGGATTCATATCAAGTCAGTCCTAAAATTGTTAGTGTGGATAAACATGCATGTTCAAGAGTACTTTGCCTAAGTAGTAACAGGTCTTTTACTTGATTAAGATAGTGGTTTTGCCTAATTGAGATAGTACTTTGCCTAATTCATAGAAGACTATTGCCTATATTAAATCATATTATTGCCTAATTCATAGAAGATTATTGCCTAATCGTAAACAAGGACCATCAGTAACGTGATCAGAAAGCTGTAGAAATATATGCATTCATGTTCCCTAGATGAATGCCTTTCAGCGAACTAGGATGACATGCTGTTGCTGCTGTTGTTCCTGACCACTGCTTCCCTCCAGCAGAACAGCCCCCCAACGATATTTATTCAGAAGTGACAATCGATGGACTAACCTGGAGCAGCTGCAGGTGGTACTGCCTCTGTCCGTGCTGGATCACGGAGATGAGCCTCATGACAACGTAGAAACGGAAGCAAGATCCCGCTCGCCCGCAACAAGTATACCTTCCATTCCAAGCCAAGGAAGAAGTTCAGATTTCCGTGCGAATCGAAGAAGCATTCATTCAGGTGAAGTAGGACTACTCACTGCGAGGAGGCTGAAGGCGAACTGGTTGGCCGCTCCACGAGAACTCCTGGATCGAGGTGGAGTTGCCGATGAATGTGGACGCCATCTTCAGGCCCTTGGGAGGGATGTCGCAAACGCTCGACTTCACGTTGTTCGGGATCCACTCCACGAAGTAGGACGAGTTCTTGTTCTGCACATTCAGCATCTACTCGTCCACCTCCTTGGTGCTCATCTTCCCACGGAACATGGCCGATGCTGTCAGGTAGCGTCCGTGTCGTGGGTCGGCAGCGCACATCATGTTCTTGGCATCCCACATCTGCTGGGTCAGCTCGGGGACGGTGAGGGCACGGTTCTGCTGGGATCCCCTTGATGTCAGTGGTGCAGAGCCAACCATGAAGAAATGGAGGCGAGGGAAGGGTATCAAGTTGACTGCAAGCTTCCGGAGGTCAGAGTTCAGCTGGCCTGGGAACCGCAAGCAGCAGGTAACACCACTCATGGTTGCAGAGATGAGATGGTTCAGGTCACCAGCTGGAACAACATAAAAAAGGCAATATTCAGATTCATATCTAAATGGCAGAAACAAATGCAAGAAACAAGACAGAAAATCATGAAATGATCATCTCAGGGCATTACATTGTATTTTGTTGTACAAAGCAAACTTTAGAACAGATAGTATGGTGTCAAAATGCTAGTGAGATGCATGTGCCCGGCATACACATTAATTCAATCAAGTAGTGCATGATTGCAATAAATATGCAGCAATGGCAGACAAAAGGCCATGTAATTCATTGCAGCATCACAAGGCATCCAAGAGATAAATTTGTGGCACGGGATTTCACACGAAGATGACTACAATCCACTCTTTTGCACCACGATATGAAATCAATGATCAATAAATAGTAAAGCTGTATGTGCAGTGACTGAACAAAGTAGCGACGCAAACTTACAAGTGGGTGTAGCAAGCTTCAGAGTGCGGAAGCAGATGTCGTAAAGAGCTTCATTGTCAAGGACCATACACTCACCAGCATTCTCAACAAGTTGGTGAAGTGCGTTTAGAAGCAGATGTCGTAAAGTTTTTAGCTTCATTGTGTTTAATCAGGACCATACACACTCACCAGCATTCTCAACAAGTTGGTGAACTAACGCATCTGCAAGATGTGACGGCATTGCACTTTTTGGGAAAGGTTCTACCATTGTAATGGTGGTATCAGACACCTTAGGTGATGGGAAAACTGAGAATGTCAGCATCATCCTATCTAGGTACTCTTCCCTGATTTTTGAGATGAGCAGGGTGCCCATCCCAGAGCCAGTACCTCCACACAATGAATGGCAAACCTGGAATCCTGCAGAAGAAAAGGTAAAGATTATTTCAGAAACAATTTCAGAGCAGAAGCATAAATCAAACTGTTGCCCAGACATAAGAAATTGGATCTCAGATTTGGTAGAAAGCCCAGAGGGCAGCTTGGCCACTAGACCGCTTGGATTGAAATGAAGTTGCAATACTTAGAATACAAGATGGTCTGCCACTGCTTATATAGAGCAAAGTGGCTTTTGCTACCTCTACCTACTCTTAGCATGTTCTGCTATGTAAAGTAGATGCCTTGATTCCTACTTGGAAGCCAAGGAACCTGAAAACTACATGATAGTGAATAGTAACTGCAGAAAAATAAGATACAAGCAACTAAGCTTAACTATCAATCTCCCCCTAAACCTAGTGCTGAGTGATCTGCTTCAGACCAATTCTCCTCATCTCCTAGAACTTGGCCTTGCCCAGTGACTTGGTGAGTATGTCTGCCAGCTGATCAGTAGTGGCGATGTGGTTGGCCTAGATGCTCCCTTTCTCCAAGCAATCCCTAATGAAATGGTACTTGATCCGAATGTGCTTGCTCCTGTCATGGAAGACTGGGTTCTTGGCCAGGGCTAAAGCAAACTTGATGTCTACCTTCAACTCCACCACATCAACCTTTCTACCAAGAAGCTCCCCGAGCAACCTAGACAGACATAGAGCTTGTGTTGCTGCAGTGGTGGTGACGATGTACTCTGCCTCACAGCTTGACAGCACCACAACCTTCTGCTTGATGGACTACCAGCAGACCAAGCAGTCACCCAGGAAGAACATGGTTCCACTAGTGCTCTTGCTTGTGTCGATGTCGCCGGCAAGGTCACTGTCGCAGTAGCCGATGAAGCGCGTTGTGCCAGGAGCCCTCTTGTAGTGCAGACCATAGTCTAGGGTCCCGGCCACGTAGCGAAGAACGCACTTCACCGCCTATAGATGCTCCACCGTGGGCCGTTCCATGAACCGACTCACGTACCCGACCGTGAACGCCAAGTCCAGACGGGTATGCACCAGGTACCGGAGGCTGCCGACAAGCCACCGCTAGTGCGTGGAGTCCACCTCCTCCGCAATGCTCTCTCAACTGAGCCGCAACTTCTCCATTAGCGTGTGGGTGGGGTTGCAGCCAACCATCTCACCGAGCTCGAGGATCTGCTTAGCGTAGTGAGCCTGACGGAGGGTGATGCCATTGGCATCCTGGCGCACCTCGATGCCGAGGTAGAAGCAGAGGAGGCCGAGGTCGCTCATGTCGAATTTCTTCTTCATCTGCGCCTTGAACTTTACCACTTCTTCTTCCTCGGCGCCGGTGATGATGAGATCATCGATGTAGACGCCGACGAGCAGGACAGTGTGCCCGCTGCCCCGCCGGTACACCGCCGCCTCATGCGTGCTCTGGTGGAAGCTCATCTCCTTGAGTGTGGCATCCAACTTTGTGTCCTAGGTGCGCGGTGCCTGCCGTAGGCCGTAGAGGGCCTTGCGCAGGCGGTACACCTTGTCTTCCTTCTCGACGACAGCGAAGCCAGGCGGCTGACGCACATACACCTCTTCCTTGAGGTTGCCGTTGATGAACATGGACTTCACGTCCATGTGGTGCACCCACCATCCTTCTTGGGCCACCAGTGCGAGGAAGACGTGGACTGACTCCATGTGTACCACCGGGGCGAACGCATCGTCATAGTTGACGCCCTCTTGCTGAACGAACCCTCGTGCCACCAGCCACGCCTTGTGCTTGGTCACTACCCCCTTCTAGTCCTTTAGCTTGAAGACCCATTTGAGGGTGATTGGGCGGTGACCCGCAGGCAGATCGGCGAGCTCCCAGGTCTTGTTATACTCCACAGCCTGGAGCTCCTACTTCATGGCGGCCTCCCAAGCTAGATGACCTTGCGCTTTAGCATAATTGGTTGGCTCGTCGGCATGAGTCAAGTGCAGCTAGGCGAAGAGATGTGGCGCCATCATTGGTGGAGACTCATCGCCGATGATATTCATCACCGTGCGGTAGCGGAGGGGTTTGTCATCGTAAAATGCATCCAGACGATCCTCGTCATCCTCCAGCGGCATGGCGAGCTCGACCTAGGGCTGATCGGTGGGCGGTGGTGTGGCAGTGGGCGAAATAGGGGAAGCAGAGCAAGCAGGGGATGCTGTAGCCGATGGCACCGTTGGTGAAGCTGACTGGAGCAGAGGTGGAGTGGCTGCTGCCACCATCGTGTTCCTAGACTCCCTCAGAGCTGGTGACGATGAGCGCGATGGAGCTAGGGATGCTGATGGAGACGCACCTTGTGCTCCCCTAGCTCCCCCACTTCAAAGGTACTCGACGGTGAACTCTTCCATCGCCAATGCCGAGCTCTCTCCCACCTTGGTCCAATCCTAGCCGTGGCTCTCGTCGAAGACAACGTCGCGCAACATGTGCACACACTGGGTCTCTGGGTCAAGGACGCGATATGCCTTGGCGCCATCAACATACCCGATGAACACCTCGGGCCGGCTGCGGTCATCCAGCTTCTTTACCTGGTTCAGCTCCTTGGCGAAGGCGAGGCAGCTGAACGTGCACAAGTGACCGACTGCCGGTGCTCTTCTGTGCCATGCTTCATATGGAGTCTTGCCTTTCAAGCTCTTCGTGGGCGACCGGTTCAGTAAGTGGACCGCGGTCACCACTGCTTCTCCCTAGAACTTGGCCGGCATACCCCACTGCTTTAGCAGTGCACGAGCCATGGCCACCATGGTCTGGTTTCTCGTCTCCACAACTTCGTTCTGCTGCAGTGAGTAGGGGCGTTGTAGTGACACTGGATGCCTTCATTCGCGCAGTAGGCAGCAAACCCCGCGGTGGTGAACTCTCGGCCGTTGTCGGTGCACAGCACCTAGAGCTTGCGCCCGATCCCCTTCTCCGCCACCGCTTGAAGATGCTTGATGGCATCTGTAGCGACGTCCTTGGTCATCAGGAGGGCCAACCACATGTACCGCGTGGCGTTATCCACCAGTAGCAGGAAGTAGCATCTGCCGTCGAGAGTCGCCGATGTCACAGGGCCATAGAGGTTGCCATGGACGAGCTCAAGCAACTCCTGCATGTGGTACTGGGCTTCAGTCGAGAACAGAGCCCTCCTCTACTTGGTGATGACGCAGGTGTCGTAGAACTGCCCGACATGCTTGATCACCGATAGCCCGCGCACCATGTCATCCTTGGCGAGCTTATGGAGCGCGTCGAAGTGGAGGTGGCCGTAGTGTTCATGCCAGCACCATGCTTCGTCGTCCTAGCGCGCGGTGAGGCAGAGCGGCTTAGACGTCTAGAGGTGGAGGATGTAGAGATGATTCACGCCGTGCTGGACCTTGATGAGAAGCCGGCCGTGCTGGTCCCAAATCCTCAACACACATCGATCAATCTCCACCTTTGAGCCGCCTTCATCCAATTGGTCGAGGCTCATGATGGAGTTGCGGAGCGCCGGGATGTAGTAGATGCCGTGAAGCACCCGGTGCTCGCCGATCTTCGCCTCAAAGATGATGGAGCTGATGCCATGGATCTCCACCTTCGACTCATCGCCGAACTTCACTGTGCCACTGGCAGAGTAGTCGAGGTCGGTGAACAGCTCACGTTGGCCATCATGTGGTGGGTCGCACCGCTGTCGAGGTACTAGCCTTCGAGTTTGTCACCGCTGGAACCGGTGTTGAGGAAGACATGGGCTCATGGCTCCTCAAAGATGAGGTCGATGGTGGACTTGGTGCAGAAGGTCGAAGCTTGAGCCTTGCCGCAACTCCCTTCTGCATCCAGCTCTAGGAACCCATGCCGCCATGCTCGTACTCGCTCTCGCATAGGGCGTGAGGGCAGTACCTGGCCCAGTGTCTAACTTGGTTGCAGTTGAGGCTTGTTCTTCTTGCCGCCGTCGGCACCTACCTTGTTCGCTTGTCCACCGCCGCCGGCACGATCACCCTTGGGCTTGTTCTTCTTGCCACCATGGGGACACCACCAACAATCCTTGGATGATCCAGCGCCCTCCTCCTTCTTCTTCTTCTCAAAAGCGCGCCAACAACAACTTGCCTCCGACAGTGGCTGGCTCGGGATTCTGCGCCTGCTCACGGTCTTGCACCACCTTGAGCCGCCCGATGACATCCTCGATGGTGAGCTACTCGAAATCGAGGAGCGTCCTGATCGAATTGATGATCTACGCATACCTCTTCGGCATGCAGCGGAGGAACTTCTCCATCGCGCACTCCTCCATCAAGTCGGTGTCGCCATTGCGCGCCATCTGCTCCATCAGATTGGTTAGTCGCACGGCGAAGTCCTTGACTTGTTCCCTAGGCTAAAAGGCGAGGGCTTCCCACTCTCCTTGGAGCCACTTCAGCATTGCCTGCCATATGTGATATCCTCCAACACACGTCGCGGTGATTGCATCCCACGCCAGCTTTATCGTGGCCTTATTGGCGATGGAGGCACCGAGCTTGGTGGCGACGGCGACGCACAAAGCCTCCAAGGCCCGGTGATCATTGTCATAGTGGATGTCACCAATGTGAACTGCCTACCAAAGCCACCGAGCCTGTAGCTTGACCTTCATCAGCAAGCTCCACTCATGGTAGTTGGACTTGGTGAGCATCGGCCATGGCGTTCCCGCACCTAAGTCACGGTAGATGGTCTACAGCACCGGCGAACACTCGTGATGGCCACGATGCTGCTCTGGTGATGGCGACTAGTGGTAGCATGGGCTGCGCGATCCTCCTCCCGCTGGCTCCGTGTCCTCCTGCTCCATCTCCATGTGAAGCGCTGCAG